TGTGGATTAATATCTGGGTCTTCAATTTGGTTCCATTGGACCCCCTGTCTGTTTTTATGTCAATACCAGTTTTTTTTTCAGTACTGTAGCTCTATAATAGAGTTTGAAGCCAGGGATTGTGATGCCTTAAGAAGTTCCTTTATTATACAGAATTGTTTTGGCTATCCTGGATTCTTTGCTTTTCCATATGAAATTGAGTACTGTTCTGTAGTAAGAGGCTGCTTGTTTATTTCCCGGCCTCCCAGACTCCCAAAATAACCACACAGAAACTGTATTAATTAAATCACTGTTTGGTTTGTTAACTCTAACTTTTTATTGGATAGCTTTTACATCTTAATTTAACCCATTCCATTATTTTATATTTTACCATGAGGTTCGTGGCTTAACAGCAAGGTTCCAAGATGTCTGTTTCCATGGCTTCTCCCTGACTCTGCCTCCTTTCTTCCAGTATTCAGTTTAGTTTTCCCTGCCTAGCTCTACTCTACCCTATTTAGGGTCAAAAGAGAAGCCAGAAAATATCTTTAAACAAATGTAAACAAGCCCACAACAAAAGAGAGGAAGGGGACCTATTCATGAAAATGATGAAGCAAAATGATCTCTACTTGTGAATGGCATGGATGGACCCCTAAATGTGTCACGACATGTGCTAGAACTAATAAGCAAATTTAACATACAAAAATCAGTAGTGTCTGTTTACTTCAATAATAAACTACTTGAAAAAATTAAAAAATAGACTTAACTACAACAGGATCAAAAATAATAAAATACTTAAACAAAGAACTGGAAATTTTGTGTACTGAAACTATGAAAATGTATTTGTTTCTATCTTGGAGTTAGTCTTCCTTGATCCAGGATTGTGATATGTGACACATGAGTGATGACTCTCAGGCATCTCCTGCTGGCTCTGATCCTCTGTGTCCAGCTTCCCATGGCTGCATTAGATGCTCTGTGCCCAGATCCCTATGGCTGCATAAAATGTTGCTCTGTCTGCCTGAGAATGATGCCCTCAGAAAAGGCTTTGTAAAGAATGTCTGCAAATTTTCTCAGCATCCAGCATATTATTCAAAATCTGTTTCATTAAGATACAAGGAAGTGTGCCATTATTTTGAATACCAAATATGCTATTTCTTTAAACAACAAAATTCTCAGTGGGACTCAAATGACCATCAACAGTGTTTATTCAGCATTCATTTGGAAAGCTCATTTCCTTCCTGGAAGTCCAAAAAGAGTCAATGAAAAAAGTTTCCCCAACCTGATGGCTGTTAAGGATGGTGCCTGTCAGGAACATTGGCTGACACAGCTCAGGGTTCAGCTGTTTGGGGATGCTTATGTTTATGGATTATCCTATAGATTGGTTCAGGAGATGGAGAGGGAATTTCGTATTTTTCCTTAAAGGATGGCCTATATTCTGCGGTGTTTTCCATTCCAAGTCATGAACCTGACCTACAGGACCAGCCATGAATAAAGTCATCCAAAACATCTATGCTCACTGAAGAGTCCTGGGGCTGCTCTTATCTTTGATTTGTTTTGTGTTTATCTCCTTTTAGAAGCCCATAAATAATGAAGTTCATAAAATGAGGCTTGTAGAAATAGCCACTTCATTGCCCTGAAAGGAAAAAGCAGTGTCTTTATTTCACGTAGCTCTTTGTACATAGAAATAGACAGTGGGATATTTTTTTTTTCTGCTGAATTTGTCTTGGGTCAATGTCTGGTGATTGGTGACTCAGCATCATTTGTTGCTCCTGATAAGCAACAACCAAAATGGCTAATTCATGTCAACCACTTACCATGAACACAATATCTTAGTTTCTGTTATAAACTTTCCTATGATATCTTTATTATTAACTCTATAATTTTATACTTAACGGAACTAAATTTGAGAATGACAATTAGTACTTGCTAAAGTGAGCAGATAGTAACTTTAACACTTCTAACTTGAACTTGACTACTTTATCAATATTCTTACTAATTCTTTTTCTTGTAAACTCCATACTCTTCATTTTTATTGCTATTTTGTTGTTGCATTTTTATCATTCAATTTCTTTAGTAGACAATTCAATTTCTTCTTATTCTCATCTCTGCATGACTATCTAAATGCAGCACCACCTTTATTTTAGGACCAAGTAAGGTATTTATTTTAGCTAATAACCAGCTGATGTATGAGGATATAATTTTATTATGTTTATAGAAACAAAAGAGACAGATAGCTAAAACTCACACTAATAGTGTTAGTGAATTAGAAACATCATATTTGGTATCCAGAAGACAGAAGTCTCAACCAGGTTTTAGATGTACATGCAGCCACACATAAACAGATTCTTTTCTAGTTGGAAACTTCAGTGTACACTCTTCAGTATGAAAAACTTTTACCTCAAGTTTTAAAAAAGCAGGAAAACAACAAAACAGCTCCCTTAAGCCAATTTACAAAAGCAAGCATACAGAAGTGAGATATCAGAAAGTTCAAAGGGGAGAGACTCCACTGCATTCGGTGCCACCCAATATGGCAAGAAGCTTCCCTGGAAGGCTGAAAACAGTATTGATCCACAGGGATACCCATGAGTGTTTAAAGGCCATTTGACTACATGGCCACTTAGCTTCATGTAATCAACTCTAATGAAACTCAGTAGGTCACACTCACAAGACATGGAAGTAGGAAGGGGGGCTTATTGAGAAGAAGGATTTCAGTGAAAAGAGAGGGGGAATAAGAGAAGTTAATGGGGGTGAGAATGACTATAATTCATTATGTACATATAGGAAGCAATTAAAGAATTAAAATAGAAATAGAAAAAGAGAGGAATGTTTGGTGAGAAGATTGATGGAAATGCTTCTCTACCTATACTTGGCCTACATCCTGATAAGTTCACCATAAAGCAAAAATATTGTAATATATGCCTCCATAACCCTCAAAAGGTTGAAAAATTGTTGTCAGAGCCACTCTACATTGGTTCCCACCTGTTAGTCTCTAGGTACAGTTTGTCCTTCTCCTTGGGAACCTGATATCCCTCTGCATTTGGCAAGCAGGTCCTAACATATACACAGGTGCAATGGTCTCTTTAAGAGACATGATCCCCTCACTCCTGATCTCTGTCTTCCCACTGAGGCAAGTCTGCCTCCCTCCCCACTTCTCTTTCTTGTCTCCCCGTCCCTCCCCCTCTGTCTCTCTGTCTCTGTGTCTCTCTCTTCCCTCCCTCCCCTCCTCTCTTCTCAATAAACTCCACACCCATACTATGTCTACATGGCATATTCTGTCACTAGCCACAGTTTGGCCCCAACTCACTATGGGACGCTGCAAAGGTCTTTCTCCCACTGTATCATAGCGCCACCCTTGTCTGTAGTCCAGAGCACTCCATTAAAAGTGGAAAAGAGAAATTAATTTTACAACTTCCAAGTAGAGCACCACATGTGTATTGACTGGCAAACTAAAGTCTTCACAGACAGGTTAGTGAAAAATGTGTTGCTGGGTGCTGTTTTGACTGTGGACGCCAAACTTCATATGTTCAAATAATGTCCCAAGTGCAGCAGGCAACTAGGGTGGTGGCTTGGTTGTAAGGAACAAGCATGTAAGCATGAGGACATGAGGATGTATGTAAAAAGACGAATGTGATCGCACACAGCTATAATGTTACATCTCTCTGGACTTGAGACCCTGAGTCAAATATTTCTGTTCATCATAAATCTCAATATTAGTCACATTCTGCGACAGCATCATAGAAAAGACCATGGCCTTGGGATTTAACAGTACATGTCATCTTTTCCTGAGAAACACGTAATTCAAGCTAGCACACTGAGAGCACACCAAGAAGCACTACTGCATCTGGAATACTAATTTCTGAATAGACAAGAAAAACATCCTTGCCGTTCTGATTTCTAAAATGGACTGAAGTTCAAACAATGACAGAAAGGCATAATGCAGTACAAATGCATCATGCGTCTCACAGACTCCATCTGATAAAGAAGTCATCTGCCGATATCTTTGCCACACTACTCCAGAATTTTGCACAGAAATATAAATACACTCCAAATATGTGTTCTGTGAAAGCAGAAATGCAAACGGAGTAACACAAGTCTCATTTTTTTGTACTTAAGAATACAATAGAACTCTTTCAATCTATATACATGCAACTATTTCCTTTAAAAATGCAAACTTAGGGTTTGCTGCTTGGCCTGATGACCTGAGTTTAATTCCCAGGACCTACTTGGTAGAAGGAGAGAATTAAGTCCTTCAAGTTGTCTTTTAACTTGCACATGCATGTCAGGGCATACTCACACACAGATAGCAAATAAATACAAAATTGAATTCCACAGTAATATTGTAGTTTGAATATGCAGGCTTTCTTATTAAGAGCAAGACTTCAGTAAGATTCTTCTTGTGTGTACTTCAAGTTTCCACAAATTCATAAAGCCACATATCTAGAAAAAATGTTAGATGATGGTTTTTAGTTGAGGGATGCTCTTTGTATTGTCATCTTTGAGAGCTCTTTCTAAATTATTTAGCTTGAACTTTGGGGGTTGGACACAAATGCGTTTACAGATGTTAGAAAAGTCCCACATGGTTGAAAGATCATGATGAAGAGGGTGAGAGGGGAGTGATTTAGAAGTTTCTGCTTTGGTAGCAACTCTGACTGCACATAGGAATCACCCTGAGTACTTAGAAAAACTTCTAGGTTAGAACACCAGATATTCTTAATTGATTGTCATGAAACACAAAGCCAGATTAGGTGTTTTTAAGTTAGCCTTAGGAATTCCAAAGTGTAGGGGGTGTTAAGAGTCACTGTACTTACATAGAGGAAAGGGAAGTAGGCAGAGAGGGTTAAAGACAAAAATAAGTTAAACATCACTAAGCACTAGAGAGAGTAATGATTTTCAGTCCCATACAGAGACTTTACAACTGAAGGGATCCCGTTGAATATGATGAAGAAAGCTGGAGAAGAAGGAAAGATCTAAGAAAAGACAGTGAGGGGCTGATTGTCTATGTTGTGTGGACTCCTTGGGAGCTGATATCAGAATCTATTTTGTAAATACAGATGGATTTGGGACTGAAGCTGTTTCCAGGCTCTTCTTAATCCAGGGTTGTTCTGAATTAGTAAAATTGAATGGCCAGCTGGATAGGAAGGCAGAACAATTTTAAGCACAACACTCCAGAAAAAACTGGCATTGACGACGTTGGACATGTACACAAACAGAACTGCCGCATTTGAGATATAGAGAATGAGAAAGCAGCTGGTTTCCTTGATGGCCCGCATGTGAGACTCCCTGCTGGGGTCTCTGGAGCCAGTGGCACTATATCTCATATGCAGGGTATGTCTCCTGAGAGAGAAAATCAGCAGAGTGGTTGCTGCAGTGGACATGATTAGAGGAGGAACGATTCCCAAACTTAATAAAGAAGCCACATTGACCACATTAGTCTCAATCATGTACACTGTGAAGTTGAAGATGTTGGAACTTTGCGAATTGTTGTTATACACAATGTAGGTGTCCTTGCAGAAGAACACGCTGAAGCTGAGTGAAATAAACACAGAGAGCCACAGAAGCCAGGGCATCAATCCAGAAATTCTCCACTTTAGTTTAAGGAATAGGCGGTAAGAAAAATTGGCAATCTTTACAAAGTGGAAGAAGCTAAGCAAAGCGGTGAACCAGAGATCGCAATAATTTAAGAATACAAAACTTACTTTGGAGAAACAATAGGAAACACTGTCGTAAAAAGAATCTTTGAATATGAAGAACGTCGTTTCTACCAAGATGATGCTTTGGAAGCCTATTCTGAATATACTCAGGAGAAGTAGAATTCTAGTATTTATGGAAACTGCCTTTTTCTGAACCCATGGGACCACATTCACAGCCATGATGATCCCATTTGCAATGATACCAACGAGGCACTCTGTGGCTACAACTGTCAAAATTAAGATGGCAAATGGTGGCACCTCGTATGTCCAGTAGTCGCTGGATTGAGCCATCCTGGGTGGTTCCCCTTTGGAGCCTGGAGGAAAATGTGTCCCTGACATTCAACAAGCAGGTCCTTGCCAACTCCCATGATTTATGTCATAGGAGGAAGAAGCTCATGTACCATTCTCAAACACACTTCATTTGTTTATCCACGAATTCTTATCTGTAAATATGGAGATGCAAATGATGGAATTATTTGGTTTCAAGTGCTTTCCCTAGATTTGGACATGTGTATATCCATTTGATCAAGCCTTCCAGGGAAGCACTTGTATGGTTTCAATATTATAAACCACTAACATGGTTTTGGGAAGCAAGCTTTTGACATCTTCAGCTTAAGTACTTAATATAGTAAACCAAGTTACTATTTAATGAGTTTTCAATTGTGAACTCATGGAATTCAGAAATTAAATATCTCTATGTGAATATACATAGATCAGTTTGAAGTGTCTGAATTTATTAAATATGTATATAAGTACATATACATTCATACTATTTTAAATAGACTTCTTATTTTGTGCTAGATAATGTCCAAACAATACACATGTACACACACACACACACACACACACACACACACACACACACACTACTTACACATTGCACATTTCTATTATATCCACTTTTTAGACAAGAAAATTGAGTCATGCAGATACCTGTCCAAAGCGCACAGCTGAAGAGTATGGGATTTGGTATTCAAATAGAAGTCATTTAACTCCAGAGCCCATTCCCCATATTCCCTTTTTTTCTTTCTTTTCTTCTTCTTCTTCTTCTTCTTCTTCTTCTTCTTCTTCTTCTTCTTCTTCTTCTTCTTCGTCTTAAGTTTTGACTGGGCAGTGGTGGTGCACACCTTTAATCCCAGTACTTGGGAGGCACAGACAGGCAGATCTCTGAGTTTGAGGGTAACCTGGTCTACAGAGTGATTTCCAGGACAGGCTCCGAAGCTACAGAGCAAACCTGTCTCAAAAAAGTTTTGATAATTTCATATAGAATATATAAATATATATATATTTATAGTTTCTACTCCCTCTCCAACTTCTCCCTTGTGTTCCTCTACACCCTCTTAAATTTGTGACCTCTTCTTTATCAGAGACCACACACACACACACACACACACACACACACACACACACTACCAAGTTCATTTAGTAATGTTCTTATGTACTTGTGCTTAGTGCTCACCAGTTAGGATTGATTAACCTGGATAACTTACCAGTGGGTCATCCCTATAGAATTCAGCTCTCCAGTTCTTCTCTCAGAAACCATTAATTGTTTATAAATTTCATCTTCCATACGGTCATGTTAACTTGTGTCATCATACAGTTCTTCTCCCTCTCCTTCTTCTCCTTCTTCTCCTCTTCCTCCTCTTCCTCTTCTTCTTCCTCTTCTTTCTCCTCCTCCTCCTCCTCCTCCTCCTCCTCCTCCTCCTCCTCCTCCTCCTCCTCCTTTTCTTCCTCTTCCTCTTCTTCTTCCTTCTTCTCTTCTCCTTTTTGATATTTTGAGGCTGGATTTTGACATGTAGCCCAGGCTGCTGTAGAATTTACTCTGTACACCAGGCTAACCCTGAACTCAGATCTGCCTGCCTCTGCCTTCCTAGTGTGGGTATTAAAGGTGTGCACCACCATGCCTGGCTTCATTATGCTATTCAAGTTCAGACAGCTATGCTGAGGTTTCATGGGTGCAGCTTTCCCACAAGGCACTATCTTCCAGCACATAATCACCTGGATCCTCTGACTCAGTCTCTCAGCCCCTGGGATGAACCCTGATCCATAGGTATTGGGCTTATGCTATAGATGTATTAGTTGGGAAGCACACCCACCATAGTACATTCATTCTCACTGTGCAGATTCTTCTCTGTGTGCCAGACATTAGGTGGATATGTGACCCAACTGTGTCATTTTCCTGGTAGTCTTTTATGATATCCTTAAAAGGAGTAATTAGACAAAGACACATTTGCATTCATGAGTTCATTAAAATCTTGATAGCTGCCCCCCCCCCCCCATTTTGAATGGTACTTGTTTGATGTCTATAAAGTTAAGGTTAATACTTTCTCTTATTTCTCTCAAGAAAACACTACTTTTAAAATGAGACTGCATTTTGAAAATATTTATTTCTCTCTCTGTGTGTCCCATATGTGTGCAGGAGCCCATGGAGAACAGAAGGGGGGGCTGAATGACCTGGTACTGTAGTTACAAGTGGTTGTGATCCAACTGACAAGTGTCCTTGGTGTGAAACTGGGGTCCACTGTTACAGATGGTTGTGAACCAACTGACAAGTGTCCTTGCCATGAAACTGGGGTCCACTGTTACAGATGGTTGTGAACCAACTGACAAGTGTCCTTGCCATGAAACTGGGGTCCACTGTTACAGATGGTTATGAACCAACTGACAAGTGTCCTTGCCATGAAACTGGGGTCCACGGTTACAGATGGCTGTGAACCAACTGACAAGTGTCCTTGGTGTGAAACTGGGGTCCACTGTTACAGATGGTTGTGAACCAACTGACAAGTGTCCTTGGTGTGAAACTGGGGTCCACTGTTACAGATGGTTGTGAACCAACTGACAAGTGTCCTTGGTGTGAAACTGGGGTCCACTGTTACAGATGGCTGTGAACCAACTGACAAGTGTCCTTGCCATGAAACTGGGGTCCACTGTTACAGATGGTTATGAACCAACTGACAAGTGTCCTTGCCATGAAACTGGGGTCCACTGTTACAGATGCTGTGAACCAACTGACAAGTGTCCTTGCCATGAAACTGGGGTCCACGGTTACAGATGGCTGTGAACCAACTGACAAGTGTCCTTGCCATGAAACTGGGGTCCAGTGGGAGAGCAGTATCACTCTTAACTCTTGAGCCTTCTCTCCAGCCTTAAGACAGAACTTCCCTTATGGAATAAATTACTGAGGTAACTCATTTCTTCAGTTATATACGTATGATTACACACATATACACACACTTTCCATTTTAAATAAAACAGTAGCAAAACAAGACTTGATGGGAAAGTTCCACAGTTATTTTACAAGGCAGGCTAACAGCCTTAGTGCAAAAAGAAAGCCATATTCTTTGAAATTTGGAATGTTAAAATGAAAATAGGTGGAAATGAGTCAGGAAAGTCCAATATGTAAGCACAGGTCACACAGTGATAGATTGTGTGCTCAAAGTGAGTTAACTTTGTGTCAATATGTGTTATCCTAAACAGGGATAAGAAATTAATTCTAATGGGATGTTAGTGGGTGACAAGCTTACAAAAATCCTTGTAAGATTTGAGTTTTTCGCCCAGCACCCCTCCCCAACCCTGCCCCACTGTATGCTAGGACCAGTGCTCAACTACAGTCTTAAGCTCCTAAACTAAGGCGACCCACCCAGAGCGGTGAGTGCCTGCCAGCCGGGCAGGCCTCAGGGTCCCCTGTAAGGGAGCCGGGCACCTTCAGCTCCGGCGCCAGGCTTCCTGCGCGCTCCTGGATACCCCCCCCCCCCCCACTTGCTCCATTCATCCTGTTGGCCCTGGATCATTGGGCTACCGGCGGCCCTGTTTAGTTGCTGAGGAATCCCATCAGGACGGTTGCTGAGGAATCCCATCAGGACGGTTGCGGAGGAATCCCATCTGGACGGGAACGGTTCCTGCTTCTACACTGAAGAAATATACCCTGAGAGTCAATCACAGCAAAGTCTGGACCAAGAGACCAGGCCTCTCCTGGCTCCATTTGAAGGAAGAGATGGGAAGGCGCCAATACAAGAATCTGAAAGGCAACATGACACCACCAGAAACCAGGGATCCCGAAATAAGAAGAATTGTACACCCTACTCCTGAAGAAATAGAAGAAATCGACTCAAAAGTGAACTATATGAAAATAATAGAGGACCTTAAACAGGAGGTGAAAAACTGCCATAAACAATTAGAGATTACAAACAAAAAGGTAGAGGAAATGAATAAATCGCTCAAAGACACGCAAGAAAACCAAGAGAAACAAGAAAAAGCAATCAAACAGGTTAGGGAAGCGGTTCAAGACATGAAGAATGAAATGGAAGCAATGAAGAAAGCACAAACCGAGGGAAGAATGGAGATGGAAAATCTGAGTAAACGAACAGGAATGACAGAAACAAGTACTAACAACAGATTACAAGAGATAGAAGAGAGAATATCAGACACTGAAGATACCATAGAAAAAATAAACACACTGATCAAAGAAAACAGCAAAACCAACAAATTCTCATCACAAAACATTCAGGAAATTTGGGACACAATAAAAAGACCAAACCTAAGAATAATTGGAGTAGAAGAAGGAGAAGAAGTGCAGCTCAACGGTACAGAAAATATACTTAATAAAATTATAGAAGAAAACTTTCCCAACCTGAAGAAAGAGGTACCTATGAAGGTTCAAGAAGCATACAGAACACCAAATAGGCTGGATCAAAAAAAAACATCCCCTCGCCATATAATAATCAAAACACAAAATACACAGAATAAAGAAAGAATATTAAGAGCCGCAAAGGAAAAAGGCCAAGTTACTTATAAAGGTAAACCTATCAGACTTACACCTGACTTCTCTATGGAAACCATGAAAGCCAGAAGGTCCTGGATAGATGTACTGCAAAAACTAAGAGATCATGGATGCAAGCCCAGACTACTATATCCAGCCAAGCTTTCGTTCACTATAAATGGAGAAAACAAAATTTTCCAGGATAAAAACAGATTCAAACAATACGTAGCCACAAATCCAGCCTTACAGAAAATTATAGAAGGAAAATCACTAACCAAGGAGTCCAACAATGCCCACAATAACTCAGTCATCTAGAGACCTTTCACCAGCGCAACTCAAAGAAGGGAAACACACAAACCCTACTACTAAAAAAGTGACCGGAGTTAACAACCACTGGTCATTAATATCACTTAATGTCAATGGGCTCAACTCACCTATAAAAAGGCACAGGCTAAGGGATTGGATACGAAAACAGGATCCAACGTTCTGCTGTCTACAAGAAACACACCTCAACCACAAAGACAGGCACCTA